GGAGGAGGAGGAGGAGGAGGAGGAGGAGGAGGAGGAGGAGGAGGAGGAGGAGGAGGCGGCGGCGGCGGCGGCGAGATGCACAGCAGTGTGATTGAAACTCACCATCATCCATCAGACAGCTTTGTAACATTTTCCACAGGCGGCACTGCTCGGCCCCAGGATCATATACCTCGAACCAGGACGAGCCCCCGGCGGCTCGGAGGGACACTATTTTCTCTTTTGAAATGTTTGTGAAACGTTTCAGCATGTTTTACACACGGACACACACACACACACACACCTACAATTACCTCGGTGGTCCAAAGACAGGCATTATGCTTCACATCTTTTAAGCTACAAACGATGAAACAGTGACAACTAAAAGCTACGATAGATCCGTTTACTTTTCTTTTCAAAAACTTTAATGAAAGTACTTCTATGTTAAAAAAAAAAAAAGAAAAAAATTCCTGTACATCGCTATGACGCTCAGTTTTGTTATTTGTTGCTCATGTGATTCTTTGATGCAGAACATTTAAAAAAAACAACCTAAAAAAGAAACCTTTTAAAGTGAAATAGCCATTCAGAGGACGTCGAATAACTGACAAGTCAATGATTTCTATCAGTCTTTATTGCGTGTTTGGTTGTGTTTGTCTCTCGGGGCTCTGGTTAATAACAAACGGGAAGTGTTTGTTGCTTAAAAACAAACCCAATAACAGCTTCTCTTGCAGCACTATATAAAGAAAAAAAACGTTTTAGTAAAACTAAATTAATCATGAAAATGTACAATCACCCCCGACAAGTCTTGACAAAGTCAAACTGGTGATAATGTTAATTATCACTTTAATATTTATTACAATTTGATCTCTATGCACAATTCAGTTTGCACATCATGTTCCTTAGATCTAGATGACGACATCGTCCTCTAAAGTATTTGGCCTGAGATTGTTTCCCCTTTTCTTTCTTCCACCTAAAAGGTGATCTTAAAGAGACCTCGTGTGTGCCGGCTTTCTGCTCATTTCCCTTAATGTTTGTAAGTCGAAGCATTAAATGATACTCGGTAGTTTACTTAAGCTTCGTGAGCCCCTTCTAATTGACATGATTTGACCAAAACATCACTTTAATCGAGACGTATTTTCATTTAAAAGAGTGAATCCAGCAAAAAAAAAAAAAAAAAAATCCTTTTCATCTGGATTTCACTATAAAAAAAAGACATAAATATTGACATTAAATGTCCCGTTTAAATGTGGAAGAAAGCTGCTTATTTACTCTGAGCGGGCCTGGCAGCAGCAGCAGCGCTTTGTGGAGGACAACAGATTAAAACAAAAGAGTTCAAGAGAAGCTGGACTGAAGTTCCTCCGACTCACTGTTGGTTATAAGCTACATGTAAAAAAAATTCAACGCCAAAACCTTTTTTGGTGCTTTTTGTTTTTTCTGAAATATTTACCTCAGTTGCCGACGGCGAGCTGCGGTCTGGGTTTGGTGAGTGAGCGGCGTAGATCTATCCTCGGCGGTGGTTTTGGCGCATATTGTCTGAGGCGGACCCTTGTACAGTACTGTAATATGTGTGCTTTAAAGCCATGTCAGCGCATTGTAATGTACTGTGTTATGCCTTTTTTTTGTGTTAACGGGAGGGAGGTTGATACTTGTTTTTCTACATTAATATTTCTTTTAACAGAGGTTAAATATGTCAGAAGAAGAAACTGTCATTTTATAATAAAAAAAAAAAATCACCTGTCATCGTAAAACCACATCTTTTATGTATAAAAAGACTAAAGGCATGATTTAAACTTTTTCTGAGAACTTAGATGTCGTACTCGATGAATTAATTGAATTTTAAAAATGAGTGATTTCAAAGATTTCTTTCTCCAAATAAAAAGTCTTCTATGGCTCCAAGCCAGCTCCTCGTCACAGACTGGACTTTTTATTTTATGTTTTTCCATCAACGTTGAAGTGTGTGTGTGTGTGTGTGTGTGTGTGTGTGTGTGTGTGTGTGTGTGTGTGTGTGTGTGTGTGTATGTATCTATCTTTGTGAGAACAATTTAGACTTTGAGAGTGAGGACCTCCCTTTGGGACAGACTTCAGAGGTTTTAGTTTGAGGGTTCAGACGTGGTTTTAAGGTTCAGCTCAGAATTAGGTTTAAGGCTTAGACATTATGTCAATGAGTGTCCTCACAAGTATAGAAGACAGGGCCTGTGTGTGCGAGTCATACCTCAGTAGTCCTGTGACTCCTTATCAAATACAGACTTATTGAACTTCAAATGTTCAACTGTCACAAGCTGTTTCCACCTTAAGTTTGACCAAATTCTCCTTTATTTATTAGTTGATCACATTTTGCCTGATTTAAGTCAAAATGTTACTTATTTTAAACTACCGGTTGTGTGTGTGTGTGTTTGTGTGAAGCATCGGTGGAAGAAGAATTTAGATTTATTTATGTTTAAAGTAGCCGCACCACATTGTAAAGATACTTCAAGACAAGTATTAATAAGTTCTGATGTATTATCATAAAGAAATGTGCTGAACGTCACGCAGCATAGAAGTAGAATAGGAAGCGGAACGGACAAAAGTACTAAAGAAAATGCAGTTCGCCGTTCGTGGTTATGGAGAAACCGCGTCAGCGGGGCCATAAAGGGTCGGCGTGAAAGTGAGCGGACTTCGGAGACTGGTGGCTGGTTAGCTCGCTAACGTTAGCTCGTCTTTCTCCAGCGAGGCGGGCAGACCGCTGTGACCAGCGTAGCATTAAAAACATGGCGGAATGAGCTCGCTAGCTAGCCAGCCAGCTGTCGTAAATATGCGATGTGAAACTGGTGGTCGGACAAAACGAGCAAATCAATTCAGTCAACAGAAATTGTCGTGGACATATTTTATACCATTTTCTGACAGTTATTTTGCAGCTTTTGTCAATAAGTTGTTTTGGCCTTCGCAACAAAACAACTTGAAACTATATTTTTATGAAACGGTCGCTCTTTGTGGCGTTTGCGTGTCTGTTTTGGGCGTTTAAAAGCTTCTTTCAAGTGTGAGAAATATCTTTACTTTTCTGAAATTGTTGCTCGCGTGCTTTCTGTTCCTGCAGCGATACTGTAGTTTCTTTTGTCTGTGTTCATCACTCAACACACAAGTCCTCTGAGGTGATCTCTTATCTCTTCCATCACTCAACACCAACAACAGGTTTCTCATGAAGCCGGCGTGAAAGCCGTCTGTCCTTGAAGCAGCTCGGGCCTTTGAAGGTCTGGCTGGTCGAGGCTGAACTCTGGCCAGAAGGCATCTGTTACTCGACAACATCTGTTCCTGTTGCTCTCTTTTCTCCCAGCATGCCGAGGGACACGCAGGCTCTCCCAAGGGTGGCCTTTTGTGTGCCCCATTGTCAATTCCATCATTG